ACTATTTTTTAGAGCAGTTTTAAATTCACACACTGAATGAAAGAAGTGTTCCCATATACCCTCTCTTCCCACACAGGAATAGCCTCCCTTGCTATCAACATCACGCACCAGAGTGGTATATTTGTTAAAATTAAAGAGCCTAGAGTGTCATATCCTTATCACCAAAATTCATAGTTCACGTCAGAGTTTTTCCTTGGTGTTGTGCATTCTATGGGTTTGGTCAAATGTATAAATAATGACATGTATCCACTACCATAGCATCAAACAGAATCTTTTCACTGCCCCAAAATTCCAGTGCCCTGCCTGTATATCACTTCTTCACCGACCCTGGCAACCCCTGATTCTTTAAATGTCTTCATAAGTTTTGCCTTTTCCAGGATGTGATAGCTAGAATTTACAGAGAAAGAAGCCTTTCTTCTTCTAATGCATTTAGCAATATGCATTTAAGGTTTCTCTTGTATAAATAAATAGATCTTTTAAAAAAATACTATCAAGCCATGAAAAGATACGGAGAAACCTTAAATGCATATTGCTAAATGCATTAGAAGAAGAAAGGCTTCTTCCTCTGTAAATTCTAGCGATGTACAGTCAGAGGCGCGGGAGGGTGAGAGAATTCACCAGAGACAGAGTGGGGAGCAGAATAGGCAGACTGATGAAAGACACTGCTGAGGGGAGCAGTGGGCGAGGTAGGAGAGGTCTGCTGTGCCATGTGGGTTTCTCCCTGGTCGGCTGGGAATCGAACCCGCGCTGCAGAGGCTGTGGACAGCTTCACAGCACTGTGCTCAAACCGTTGCACTACCGGGGAGGGCCCTTGATAGTATATTTGTCAATGTACCTACTAAATGATAGCTTGGTTGTTTCCAAGCTTGGGTAATTATGAATAAAGCTGCTATAATCTTTGTGTGCAGTTTTTTGTGTGGACCTAAGTTTCAACTCACAGGCTAGACTGTATGGTAAGAGTGTTTAATTTAATGAGAAAATGATGAACTATCTTCCCCAATATTGTACCATTCTGCATCCCCACTAACAGCGAATGAGAGCTCCTGCTGTTTAGTGTCCATGTCGGCATTTGGTGTTGTCAGTGCTTTGGATTTTGGTCATTCTCCAAGGGTTTAGTGGTATCTTTTTTTTTTTTTTTTTTTTTTTAAATATTTATTTATTTATTTATTTATACAAGCACTGGGTACAGTCAGAAGCGTGGGTGGGTAAGAGAATTCACCAGAGCCAGAGCGGAGAGCAGAACAGGCAGACTGAGGAAGTACACTGCTGAGGGGAGCAGCGGGCGGCAGCAGAGGTCTGCGTGCCACGTGGGACCCTCACCCAGTGGCCGGGGATCGAACTGGCGCTGCAGAGGCTGCGGGCAGCTTTGCAACCCAGCGCTCAACTGCTGCGCCACAGGGGAGGCCTGGTGTCTTGTTTTAATTTCAAATTCGGAATGACAGGATGTTGAGCATCTCTCCACGTGCTTTTTTACCCTTGGTATATCTGTCCTTGGTGTGGTGTCTGTTTAGGCCTTTTGCCCATTTGGGTTGTTTCACTATTGTTGAGTTTTAAAAATCCTTTGTATATTTTGGATTACTAGTCTTTTATCAGATGTCTTTTGCAAATGCTTTCTGCCAGTCTGTGGATTGTTTTCTCATTCTCTTGGTGCTTAACTTCTTTTCATGGTGGCTCTAGGGAACACAATATATACCCCTAACTTCCTAGTCTACTTTGAGTTTACACTGTACCACGTGGTAGGCAATCTTGAAGTCCTGAAGAGAGAACCTAATGACCACAGGCTTGTGGTACTTGTGCTCTGATGCAGCCCCTCCCACGCTCTGTCAGGTTTGCTCTGCAAGACCAGCAGAATACGGCTGAAGTCACGGAATGTCATTTCCAACATTAAGCTGTAAAAGACACTGAGGTTGCAATCTTGTTTGTTCTCTTTCAGATCATTCACACGAGGGAAAGGAAGCTCTTGAGCTGTGAGAAGCCCTATGGAGAGGCCCATATGGGCAAGCTTCCTGATAACAGTTACATGAATGAATGCATGAATGAATGAGCTGGAAACAGATCATCCAGACCCAGTCAAGCTTTCAGTAAAACTGCAGCCCCAGTTGATAGCTGGACTATTACCTCATGAGATTCCAAGCCAGAACCACTGAGTTAAGTTGTTCCTGGATTCCGTATCCTCGGAAACTATGTGATAATAAATGCTTATTATTTTAAGTTGCTCAATTTTGGAATAATCTGTTACTTAGAAGTAGATTGTATCTACCACTTTACATAAAATAGAATAATCTTACAAATGGTTCCATTTACTCCTTGTCCTTTTTGCTGTAGCTGTTATATATATTTACACTCATATAATCCCACAGGACAATGTTATAGTTTTTGCCTTAAGAAGCCATATGTAGTTTTAAAAAATTAGGCTGCGGGGAGGGATGGAGATAAGTCCTTTGTATTTACACATGTAATTACCACATCTGCTTTTCTTCATTCCTTCTTGAATATCCATGTTTCTACCTGATATCATTCTCTTCACCCTGAAGAATTAGTGCCAATTTGCTGGTGAAGAATTCTTTGAGTTTCCACTTGTCTGAAAATATTTTAATTCTGCTTTCAATTTTATGGGTATTTTCAGTTTTCATGGACATAAAATTCTGGGATGACAGATTCTCCCCCACAGCACTTTAAAGATGTTACTTCCCTGTCTCTGGTCCTCACTATTTCCGAGAGGAAGTGAGCAGTAATTCATAACATTATTCTAATGTATTTGACATGTACTTTACCTCTGGCGGCTGTCAAATATTTTCTTTTTCTTTGGTTTTCAGCAGTCTGACAGTGATGTGTCTATATGTGGTTTTCTTTGTATTTAACATGCTTGGGGGTTACTGAGATTTCTGAATCTATATATTTGTGTTTCACAGATTTGGGGAAAATTTCAGTCATCATTTCTGCAAATATTATTCTCTGACCCCTTCACTCTTTTTCTCTCTCCTATTCCTATTTTATTGGTATTTTTATTATACATGTGATAGTCCTTTTTATACTGTTCCACAGTTCACGGAAGCTCAGTTCAATTATTTCCAATCTCAATTTTTCAGATAGGTTGACTTGTACTGCTCTACCTTCGAATTAACAGATGCTTCTATTATTACTGCAATTTATTAATCTCAATCAATGATTCTTAAACTCCGCATAGATTTTTCAGTTCCAGAACTTTTGGGGTATAGTTTCTTTTTCTACTGAGAATTCTTATCTTTTCATTCTTTATAAGAATATTTTCCTCTTCACCCTTGAGCAGAGAAATAAGCTGCTTTAAAGTTCCTGTGTGCTAACTCCAACATCTGAGTCATTTTGTAGTGGCCTTCACTGATTGCTTTTTCTATTAAGGTTGTCATATTTACCCCATCTTTTTTTCTTTTTTCCACATATATAGTAGCTTAGGATTGAATCTCGGACCTTGTGAATGGTACATGGTCCTCTGAAGTGTACTGATTTTTCATTTTAGCAGGCAGTAAACTTCCCTAGAACCAAAATATCAAATTCTATCTCCTGTGCATTGGGCAGCAGTGGACTTCACCATTCAGTAATTTTAGCCCTAACTTGGATATGTGGAGTCTATCCTGAGCGTGCACACTCTAGGAAGTCAGGCAGAGATTTGGGCAGGGTTTACAGAGAGAATTAGGGTTACTCCACTATGTTTCTCTCCATTAGAGGCTCCCTTTCCTCACATTTCAGTTGCTACAGTCACTCTGAAGTCAGTTTTCTCATTCTTTGACCAAAATAGTCTTTTGGTTGACTTTCTAGTCAAGCTTTACTTACCCCCACATCACAGCAATTGTAGTAGTCTACCCACAGATGAAAAGCTATGGACAGAAAGCCCTTTCAAATAACCATTCTTCTCTTTTTCTGTGCCATTGTAGACACAACATTGACAATGGGAATCTTAAGGCCTGAGTTAAATTCTAGCCCAGCCACTTTCTAGCTATGTTAACTGTGGGTAAGTCAGTTCTCAGCATTTCCTCATCCTAAAATCTTCACAGGAATGGCTGCTTTGCAGCGTTAAGAAGATCAAGTGAGATACTACACAAGGATACTGAGGCTCGGGGGGCAGGGCTAGATGATGTCCTATCTAGTAAATGGTAAGAATAATTGATTATCCCAGGCTTGGTATAGGCCCGAGGTGGGGTATAGGCCAGAGGTGCGGGAGGGTGAAAGGATTTACCAGAGACAGAGTGGGGAACAGAACAGGCAGACTGACTGAAAGACACTGCTGAGGGGAGCAGCAGACAAGATAGGAGAGGTCTGTTGCGCCATGTAGGTATCTCCCTGGTCGGCCGGGAATTGAACCCGCGCTGCAGAGGCTGTGGACAGCTTCACAGCGCTGCACTCAACCTGCTGTGCCACCGAGGGTAGGGGGGAGACTTGGTATTTCTTCTGCAACACCAGACTGCTTCCAGTTATCTAGTGACCACCCTCTCACCTTTCCCTTTTAAAGCACCTACTATGACCTAATTTCCAAGCTGGGCACCAAGAACACAGTAAGTCAAAGTTCCTGCTTCCTAGAAATTCCAAGTATTATTCCCTTTTCCTAAGTGGTGACTGTCCCCAGTCTACGTCTGCTTTTGGTTACACTGCAATGTCTTCAGGGAGCAGTTTTTTAATATTCTGTTTAGCTCAGTTTGTAACTGTTGTGATCTCTGGCCTGATACAACCGAGCCTGCCATTACCAAAAGTGGAACTGCTGTCCATGGATTTTGGTTTTGCAATCTAGTTGCTTAGTCCAATGTTTTATGCCAGGATATATGGAGTCAAAAGCTATGCTTCCACTGCTCCCATCCTCCCAGTATCATCTGCTTTTTAATTTAATAATAAAATATTCCCTAGAATCTTTCTATTACTCAGAATCTTTGTCCAAACTACTCCGCTACTAAAAAGCAATAATAATTGGTGTGAATTTAAATGTGAGCGAGTAAGGGGGCCATAGCAGTATTTCTTTCTGCCACTCATACCTGGTGTGGGCTTGGCTATCCCCTGATCTGGTAATGCTCCATATTTCCGATGCTGTTCGTACCAGTCATTCACCGTCATAGTCGCCAGACTTGGATAACCAGCTCCAAATACTCTGTAAGAATCACACTGCATTTAGAAAGTACTTATAAAAGTCTCTTCTTCAGTGGCAAAATCTGTGACTGTTTCATCCTTGCCCCCCTACTTAGCTCTTTTGAGGAGTTGCACAAACTCCTGGGAGGACACCTAAAAAGAGGCACCCAGGCAGGGGCATTAAAGTCAAGAGCTTTCATGAGAAGATAAATAGTTCAGGATCGTCTTTCAATAAGCAATCTGAGAAGCTGATGCCTCACAGAGCAGTACTGACATTGCGGAAGGGGTATTTATAGCTGGTGGGCCTATACAGTATACAAAAGGAGGAGACTCGTCTGCCACCCTATGGAAAAACATCTCAAGGACACAGACTTAAATCCTATATAGGCAAATATGTCCTTTTGAGAACCGCAGCTGAAGGCAATAATGGGAAACAATTTGAAGCATACATCTCCCCCTTAGATTCCTTTCCTCTATTTTCATCTGCTTCCTTGTGAGCCTATTTTTAAGCACAAGTTAGTGAGGGAAATGTCTGATGAAGACAGAGAGAATGAATTAGAAGAGCTAATATTCCTTTGATGAAAGAACAGCCCTTGCAGGTGAAGCCATGACCTTTTAACAATTCCATTTCTGTTACTCATGCACTGCAAGTGAATCATCAACAAAGGGGGGGGGAATGACAAAGTAACCCACTTTTCAGTACTACCTACTTGGCTTGGGCTACGTTCCGAGTGAGAATAAAGGGTTTCACTGGAGGCTTGTCTTGTTGAGATGAATGAGAAGTTGATGCCTGAAAAGGAAATTAATTATCAGAAGTGCATTTGCCATTGTGTCCACCCCACGAAGCAGACTTTTAAGTTTTCAGGTGCCTGAAAGGCCCTATATTCAAAATGCACTTACTCCCTATTTAACAATCTCTAAGATGTAGATGCAGGTTACTCATGGTGGTGGTCACTTAGCTCTCCCTAGTACATTGCTGAAAGGGCGGAAGAAAAAGCTCTCCTACGAATCCTCTCATCACATGTAAAAAATTACTTGGTTTTCAAAGGAGACCCAAAGCTATCTTCCATGTTCTGTCTTAAATCCCCTGAACTGAATTTGAAGCCCCTTTCCTCAGCTTTCAGAGCTGAAGTACAATTATTAAGTCTTCCTCTAAAACCTCTTCAATGGAATTATGCTATCTATGGTGAATAGCCTCTAGGGTGTTTTAAAAGTGCATGTTTCTAAATGCAGGGGGGATGAATAGGTTAGTAGCTTTCACATAAATTTTTTTTTTTAAAAAAAAAAGATTTATTTATTTATGCATACGAGAACTGGGGTGTAAGCCAGAGGTGTGAGGGTGAGAGGATTCAGCACAGACAGTGGGGCGCAGAACAGGTAAATCTACTGAAATACACTGCAGAGAGGGGCAGCGGGTGAGGCAGGAGAGGACTGCTGTACCATGTGGGTCACCTCCCTGGCCAGCTGGGGATCAAATTCATGCTGTAGTGGCTGGCAATAGCTTGAAAGTGCTGTCTTTAACCCGTGCGCCACTAGGAAGGCCCATGTACAGAAATGTTTTGAGGAAGTCTGGTTGTCCAGGGCATAAAAGAACAATGGCCCATGAAGAGATGGTCACTTGTCTCTAGCTTTTATCACTTCCAGAGCCAATCCAATACAAAATGGGAGAGCATTAAAAAACAACAACAAAAACACTACCAACAAAGAAAGGGGAGGACCCAGAAGAATCCAGCTTCAAATGCTTGAAAACCACGCATCTACAAATGCTCAAGGGGCCTTGTGTCCTTAGAATACTAACTCATTCTTTGATCCTTTAACATGAAGAACTAGGTTGATGTTACCCTAAGGCAAAAGCTCTTGGGCTAATTAGTACAAATCAAATTAGGAAGAGGTTTCACAGAGGATTTATTTTTTATTTATTTATTTATTTTTCTAAAAAAGGGGAAAAAAAGATTTATTTATTTATTCATTCATTCATTCAGTCATTCATTCAAGCACTGGGTACAGTCAGAAGCGCGGGAGGGTGAGAGAATTCACCAGAGCTAGAGCAGGCAGAAGGGCGAAGTACACTGCTGAGGGGAGCAGCAGGCGGCAGGAGACGTCTGCGCGCCATGTGGGACCCTCCTCCAGTGGCCAGGGAGCAGCTGGGGAGGATTTAAATAAATGTCTGTGACTAGCAGACAAATTCAACTCAATTCAAGTTGCATCCTGTACCAAAAAGTGGCAGCAGAGTCTAATCTTCTGAAGCAGCAGCTCTAAAACAGGGTTATGATCGTCAAAGATAGCCAAAGCCGTGCTACACCAGGTTTTCTTTACCAGTTTGCCTGGCACTTGGGGCACAGAGATGCCCTTGCTGTGCTCAAACCTTCATGATCTAAAGGTGTGAGAGGGTCAATTCTGACTCTTTCTCCCACCCTAAATATATTCATTATACCTTTTTTTTTTTTTAATTCCTCTCTCCCTGCCGGTGCCACCTTTCTTTTCCATCCCCATCCTACTCCTCTTTCCCTTTCTTATAGTCAAGTGCAAATGTTAATGGTCTATTCCCCATGTCTTCTTAAGCAATCATGACTTCCCATAGCCAAAACCAATTTTTACTTCAGCGACTTCTCCCCAGCCCCTGTGACATGTCACAAAAATTACAAATGATTAGAAGACTGCTAAAGATTAGAAAGCACTGGAGAGAAAATACTCCAGTGAACCTTCAGCCATCTTAAATTACTAAGATCAAGGATTTTATAGACACTTAAAAGGATTTTAATTTAATTACTTTCTTGTAGAATATTCAAGTCTCTGACAGTAGCTTTTTGAACTACATAGGTAGTGACCAGGATTACCTCTGCAGAGTTTCTTCCTTTCAGGATCTTTATCTCCTGGTCAATGCTCTCGATCTCTTCCAAGCTGATGCCAATCCATCTTCGAATGTGAAGGAGGTAATATTCACGGACAAACTCCTCATCTGCTTCACCACTTTCCACAGCAGATTTCAGTGCAGACAACCTATGTTCCAACTCCTTTTTCTGCTTGTATCTGTTGCACAGAAAAGCATTACCCATGAATATAAAAATAAGCAGTCCTTCAAGAGAAGGTCACAATTAGATTTTACCTCTGTAAATGTCCAGGCAGTTAAGTATGCCAACTTCCACCTTTGCAAAAATACAGAGCTTGCCATTAAGGTAGTTTTCTCAAGGCTACAAGGCAGGGATGGGAATCAGCAACGTCTGAGAAACACTTTCTGAAGCCAAAAAAATATACAAGTAGCAGGACCCAAGCAAATCCTCCCATCAGCTTTAGGGAGTGCCTTAGTAATTTTGTTACATCAACTCTAAGTAGGCCAGGTGTTTAGTATCACAGAATATCTACTTGGGACTCATAGAATCTTAGGGGTCACTTGCCTGCCACTGATGCAGGAATTCCTAGTGAAAGAAACTTAAAGAATGATTTTTCTTTTCTTCTGAGCAAAATCTTCCCAGCTCTTCTGACTCATCCCAATTTAAAGACCCCTAAGCACCCTGCCTGCCTTTCACAGGAGGCATTGTAGTATGTCCTCTACCAGTCATATGCCAAGTATTTACTGAGTGCCTAATGTGTGACAGGCTCTTTTCTGAGAGCTGGAGACACAGCAGTGTACAGAAGAAAGTTCTTGCTCTCACAAACTTTTCATTCTAGTGGGAGAAGACAGATTAAAAAGGAAGAGATGAAGAGTCGGGTGATGGTTAAGTGCTATGAAGAAGCAAAGAGCAAGGTAAAGTAGACAGAGTGATGGTGTTGTTATATTGAGGAGCGACCTCTCTGAAGAGGTGACATTTGAACAAAGACTTGAAGGAAATCAGGAAACAAGCCATGATGATATCCAGAAGAATGTTCAAAGGGGAAAAAGCAAATACAAAGGTTCTGGGATGGGAAAGTGTTTGGCTTGACCTGATTGAGAGGAGCAAGGAGGCTCATGTGGCTTGCATGGAGTGATGAATGATAGCAAATGAGGTCAGAGAGATAGCCAGAGCCATAATTTGTAGAACCCTGTAGGCTGTAAACCCAAAATACCAAATGCCATATTTGGAGTGAGATGAGAAAGCAACTGGAGGCTTTTGAAGAGAATATGTGACATGACTAAAGTGACATGAAAAGGCTTTTTTTATGTGGGCCACCCTGGCTGTGGAAGGGAGTGTAGGCAAGGACTGAAGCAAGGAAATCAATTAAAATGACACTGCCACAGGGCCTCCCAGGTGGCGCAGCGGTTGAGTGCTGGGTTGCGAAGCTGCCCGCGGCCTCTGCGGCGCTGGTTCGATCCCCAGCTGTTCCCCGGCCACCGGAGGAGGGTCCCACATGGCGCGCAGACCTCTCCTGCCGCCCGCTGCTCCCCTCAGCAGTGTACCTCAGTCCTTCTGCCTGCTCTGCTCCCTGCTCTGGCTCTGGTGAATTCTCTTACCCTCCCGCGCTTCTGACTGTACCCAGTGCATGTATAAACAAAACAAATAAAAAAAAAAAAAAAAAAAAAAAAAAAACATGCCTCTAAAAAAAAAAAAAAAAAATGACACTGCCACAATTCAGGTAAGAGACAGGAACTTGAAATAGGGAGGTGCTAGGATGTGGATATATTTAAAATATAAAACAGAAGGGACTGCTGATTGACTGGATGTAAGGGTTTGAGGGTAACTGAGGAGTGAAGGAAAAACCTCCACGCTTTCTAAGAAGTATCTTGAAATCTTTTACATCTGGAACCCCACTCTAGAGCTCCAAAATTGTATGTTCCTCTGTAGGTATTCACCCAAACCTGAGATTCTTAACCTGAGGACCAAGGACAGAGGTTTTTTTGTTTGTTTCTTTCTTTCTTTCTTTTTGGAAGGGTGGGTGAGCAGGAAGGGTGCCAGCCCTTGGACTCTGAAATTTCCTACAAAATTCTACATGTAGGAGTTTTTTGTTTTATTTTGCCAGGGAGAGACATTGAGATTTTTATCAAATTATCAACAAAGGCTATAGCCCATTAAAATAGTGTTTCCAGTGCTCTGGAAACAATTTTTTATTATAAAAACCGGTAGGCGCTTTTTGCTCCTTTAACCCAACAAGGGGGCACTTTATATACCATTATAAATAACTGTCATGGAGTCATCAGAGGTTTACTTCTGAGTAAAACACTGCAAAGGTCAATTCCTAGTTCATGAATACTCTTAGAGCTAGTATTTGAGAACATTTCACTTGAGTCCCACTCCTCCCCCCACCCTTTCCTGGATGTACCTAAGTCAGGAAAGAGAAGACATTCCAGGGCCTCAGAATATATATAAAATCCAGGGTAAATTCCAGGTCTACCAGTCCTTTGAAGTATTTGTGCTTCCTTTCCCCTTCTCTGCATGCCGACAGCCGAATGGCTCTCTTTCTGGCCTTTCCTTCTCTATATCCTTGGTCCTACACCTTCTTCCTGTCGTCTTTGGGAATTCTAGCTCCTCAACACCTATTCTTTCAGGCCAGAATTTTTAAAAACTTGTCTGAGCAGAAGAACCCTTTCTTCTAATGAGAACTTATATGGAACCCCAATGAGTAATAAATAGATAAAATCCATCTTGGTTAATTCAAGAGGGCTCCCAATCCCCCCTCCCCCGGTACTACAGTGGGATATCAGAGCTCCAAATGAACAGACTGAAAACCACTGTATAGATTGTCATCTCTGTTTTAGCCCCCATGGTGAGCCTGACACTGAAACACTATCACCCATGAATTCCCAATCCCTGTCATCCCTCTGACTCTGGACAACTTTCAGCACTCCTTTTCCTGTTCCTAAACTGCTGAAGAGAGTGAGTGAGTTACAAATTCGTGTCAAGTGGGTGGAATACAAATTCACATTATCAAACACCAGCTGAGTGGTCATTCTTGCTCAGCTAACCCTGCAGTCACCTTTTGTGGATTCCATGCAACTGTAACTTTCCCCAGATGGCCAAAGTAAAATTCAATGTACCTCTTCATCTTAAATCTCTGTAGCTTCACTCTGCCTCCATTCCTCTTATCTGTAAGCAGATAATGTTGTCATTACCAAGGCAACCTGTTTACTGTCCCACTTTTGTTATCAGTCTCTACCCACATTTGTCCAGGCATCATTCTATCAATCATCCTCCCTGACGTTTCACCTTAGTAGTGCCTTTCCCCTATCCTAGAAACATCTTCCCTTAACCCATATTCTAACTTTTCGAATGTCCAATCTTATCTTTTCTATGCTATGGTGGAACTAGCACTAGAAATGAATTTGAAGACTTCCAGCCTGGCTACCAGCTATGTAACTTCAGGTAAATCAATTCTGAAAATCATTCGCTCTAAAACAGCCGTAGTATCTGCTGCATGGGATTGCTAAGAGAATCAAATGAAACAATACACATGAAAATGCTTTGCAAACAACAATAAAAATGTTAGGTGATGAGAAAATTGAGGGTAGGATGTGCCAGACCGCTCCATATATTATAGTGGCAGAAACTGGTCAAAGTCCAGGTCTTTTTTGCTACATCATATTGCTTCCACTGTCCTGACAACTGTTCTATTTGTCCTTCTGTCTGTAAAGACACCTCAAGTACCCACTATGATCCAATTATGGGGTTGGATAACAAGGGCACTATTAGGATGCTAGGGATGTAATTAGTCACCATCTCTGACCTTTGGTAGTTCCAAGTCTATAGAGTAAGAGAGTTATGCTGTGGTAAGTGACAGAAATCAAGTGCTACAGTTATCTGGGAGGGGGCACAGGTAAAGAGAAGCGTAAAGGAGGACATGACAGTTGCTTTCTTCCTTCCCAAGCTCCCATAAGTCCTTCTGTTTGTACCTCATCCAATTTCTTTTCTCTGTTCTTTCCTTCCTCTTCTTTCTCCCTTAAATTCAAGGTTTTATCCTTTGCTTTTGTCTTTCTGCATGTTTTTCTTTGGCAAACTATTTACACCCATCAAAGTTTCTAAATGTTTAGCACTAACCACAAAACAGTCTTGTTAGTTCTAGAAGCATAGTTCCATCTGTCTATGGACAGGGCTATCCAGTTGTTCCTTTAGGACCTAAATCTAGTAAATCTAAAGGTAGGCTCACAAATTACCCAGTATCTATTTTTTAACTCTATTTCTGTCATAAAAATGGAGGTGCACTTAATCAGACTTACTCCTCAAAGATGGGAATTAAGAGTAGAGACGATACTGAAAAAACAGGTTTTGAGAGAGAGAGAGGCTGCAGCATCTCGGTGTTTTATGTAGGATGGTCTCAGTATGAAAAGTCATGGGACGGGGTAAGGATTTGCAGTAAGGATCTGTCCCTGTTCATATAAAATGCTTCTTAGAAAAGTAGTATCTCTGATTGCTATAACTTCATTTTTATCCCTTCTTCCTAGTCGAAGCACTACTACAGCATGATAACTTGTATTTTTCCCTGTCTCTCTTCCAATAGTCTACATATATGACTTTCTTAAGCAGATATCCAATCATACTACTCTTAGCTTCTGCCAAACTAGACTATTCTCTATCCCCGTACATACCTCAAACTACCTGCCTGGGGGCTTTTGCTCATATTGTTCCTCCTTTCTGTCAATAAATATTTCTTGAGTACCTTCTACATGGCAGGCACTGTGCTAATCATACCACAGAGAACAAGTCAGATATGGGTCCTGCCCTCATGGAATGTATGTTCTGGTAGGAGAGACAAAACCAGAAAGACAGATAAATGAAGGCATTCCATTCAATGAGAACAAAGACTGTAAAAGGAAGGAGCTGGGTCTGTATGAAGAACTGAAAGGCGGCCATGGTGGCTGGAGTCCAATGAACAAGGAAGATGACAGTAGACTGGAAAGAGGAAGGTATCAGAGCACATTGTAGTTAGTGGTTTGGCTATTCTGGATGAGAGATGCTGGCGGCCTAGACCAAGGTATGATAGTGGAGATGGAAATAGGACCTAGGGTACATGTTGAAGCTAGAATTGGCAGGCCTTGTTGATGAACTGGATGTGGCAATTCAGAAGAAGGGAGGAAGAGAAACTAAACCCTAGGTTTCTGGCTTCAACACCTGAGCAGATGGTGGTACTCTTACTAAGGTGGTGAAGATTTGGGTGTGTGGACACATTTGGGGGTTTGAAAGTCAAGGACTCAATTAGGGCATTCTAAGTTTGAGATGTTGGTGAAACACCCATGTCGGGTGCTAAAAGTAGGAGTGTGAAGATCAAGAGCAGTCTGGGCTAGTGATATAAATGTGGGAACCATCAGCAAAAGATAAAGTCAGTATCTCCTGTTGGGCACTTACAAACAATGTTCAAAGGATCAAGCTTGCTACCCAAAGAAATGCAAATGAAAATAATACAGGCATCCTCACTTTTGAAAGGTCGGATTACACCACTTGTTTTTTTATGAAAGAACTGTATTAGCATCTGTTTTTGATAACTGGAAGAAATCTGAAGAGGATTTCCATTTTTATGACAAAAGGTGGGACATAAAAACAGTCTTCAATGTTTGTTTCCAGAAGTAGAGGAAGTCATTAGAGGCAGCACTCACCCCACACAGCAACAGTGGTGTACCAAGTTCCTTTCCCAGGAACTATTTTATACAGGCAGTATATTTATCATAGCATTCCAAGCTTTTCCTGTATGTTAGTTATTTAGGTTTTATCTTAGTCAGTCAAGTTTTATGTAACATTTAGTAAGTTATATTTTGGGTCTGGGAACACACAGCATTTTTTCCATATAAATTCAAAATAATCACGCCTTCATACCATTTTGGCTTACAAAAGCTTTCACAAGAACACCCTGCTTTCAGAGAGCAGAGAAAACCTATACCTTTTTAGAGGTACCCATATTCAGTTCATATCCCCAATGTCTAGCATAGTTCCCAGACATAAAGAGCACTCATTAAATGTTTTTTTTTTTTTTTTTCCGAAAAAACAAACTCAGAGGGGCCTCCCTGGTGGTGCAAGGGGTTAAGCACCGTACTATGAAGCTATCCGCAGCCTCTGCAGCACGAGTTTGATCCCTGGCCAGCCAGGCAGCAACCCACATGGCGCAGCAGACCTCCCATGTCTCACCCGCTGCTCCCCTCAGCAGTGTATTTCAGTCAATCTGCCTGTTCTGTTCCCTACTCCGTCTCTGGTGAATCCTGTCACCCCTCCCCCCCATCTCTGGCCTGTACTTCAGCTCTTGTATGCATAAATAAATCAGTCTTAAAAAAAAAAAACTAAACTCAGAGAGTAAGCAACTTGTTCAAGGTGTCACGATGAAGCTATTTCAAGACTAAGATTAGTTCAGAATGGATGTCACACCTGATCCAATACTCTGAGAACAGAGCTTCTCAATCTGTAAGTGCACTACAGCTACAAGATACTGTGCCCTTCAAAGATATTTACTCCACTGTAACATCTGAATACTGCTATGCTGAGATGTGTGGGAGGTACTCTGCTAAACACTATTGCAGCTGTTGGCAACCATAAGGTAGTGTGGTAGTCTGAAGTCCAGGTATGACCCTCTCAACAAAGGCATAGGCTTGAAACCCTGAGGAAGTTTTGCTCTCACCAAAAGACAACATATACCATTCGTCCCCTTTTCCATACACATGCACACCTCACCCCCACCCAGTAGCACTGCTTTTGGGCGGGCCTCAATTTATATCAAGTCACTGACCTACCTCTCTATTTTAGCCTGTCTTTGAGATGCCATTTCAACGAGGTTAGGATAGGCCACGGAGGAATGAGCTGTGTTATTTTCCTCTGAGTCGTCCTTGGTTTTGGGCAGCGCAAATTCTGCTATGTGATAGCACTGGCACTGAGTCAAGTAGTTTAAAAAGTGTTCTCGAGCCCACTGCAAATGTTCTAGGCGCTTGCTGGGGTTGACTTGTTTCATGGTGAGCGCTCCTTGAAATGCCGGCACCAACAGGTACTTCAGGTCGGTGGAAGCTATCTCTTCTAATTCTTCATTTTGGCTAGAAAGAGCAAAGAGGAGGCTGTGAAGCCTGGTTGGGTATTCAAATTGTGGCCCTCGCTCCCTGGGGGAGGGAATGATTGGGGTGACACTGGGGCAAAGGGAGGAACCATGGGGAACAGTGGCCGGTTTTCTTCGGTTAAAGTGGCTGGGCGCTCACATTCATTATCTATGTGAGCAGCTTAAGGAGAAAAGTCGCGGGCTACCGACCACCTCGGAGGAGAGGCAGAGAAATGTAAACAACGCATACAAGGTCACAGCGGGTGGCGGGAAAGAAAGGTTCCCTGATCTAATGAACCTAGGTTCATTGTCTCCATCCTTGGGTTACCATTATTACCTACGTTCTCAATCGTTATAACCCTCTCCCCCATACCTGAACAAATCGAGCTGTGATAACATTTCGGTGGCCTTCTTAAGGAGCTCTAATCCCTTGAAGACCTTCTCCTGGACTATGCGGGAGCCAGCGGGTTCAGACGCTACTTCCACCTCGTCCAGAAGCTGCTTGCTGGTTTCGAAGAGATCGGGGAGCCGCGGCGGCTCCAAGTCTTGCTCAGAGGATGCCATCTTTGAGGGAGGAGGAACCTGGGGGCTTCACTTCCGGGATCAAAGGCAACCTGGGTAGAAAAGAACAGGCGAGGGCAAACGAAACCGGAAGAAGCACCCCATTGGTTCAGTCGCCGCATGATTACCAAAGCGTCAAGCGACTTCCGGAAGTCGCTGTTTACAGGCCCTGGCAACCGTTTACAGGCCCTGGCAACCGTTTCCATGGACTCGTTCGACCGGGCTGCCTGTTAGAAGTGGTTGGGTATCTCTTAAAATCAAACAAGCAAGCAGAACGCCAGGCGCTGTTTTACTAGGTGCTCCTAGTCGCCGACACTGGGCCGGCAAATTCCGTGGACTCAGAGACCTGGAGGTGGCGAGGCGAAATTCTGCGCCTGAGTGGGAGAGGGCGGGCATGCGCCCCACCTCGCCAAGCGCCCCCAGTGTTGACGGATCGTAGCCGCAGGAGTACCTGTGGGCGTAGCGCGGCAGGGGTGCTCGCCGATCTGAATGAGCAAGCGCAAAGTGCCCGTAGCAGCCCGTTGCCCCTTCAGCTTCCGTCCACCAGCTGGAATCCTACGTTCCTGCCAACTAATCCTCTCCGCCTTCTCGTCCCCTTACTCGTACTTACACACGCACACACCTCTTCTTAGTCCAGATAATTTGGTAACCTGCAACTCCAGTCATTTCACAGCCTTCTTCCTTTTGTGCCACCAGTTCAAACATTAATTACGTCATCCTTGAAACCTACCACCCAACACGCAGTGTTCTAGCCAGTGATTTATCGCTTTTTCTCACCAGAATAAGTCTGATTAAGTTTTGCGCTTTTATAGCTAGACAAATGCCTGGTACTTATTAAGTGCTAAGTGTCATATAAACCGAAAAATAGGTGATGTCCTGAAAACAGCCCAGTTACGCAGAACTGCTCTATTCAATGGTAGCCACTAGCCACATGTAGCCGTTGAGCACTTGAATGTGACTATTTTGAAATGAACTGCGTTGTAAATGTAAAATACATATAAAAATGTAATATCGGGTTAAAAAATCATTACTAAAAAAGGAATGTAAAATATCTCAATTTTTATGCTGACTGGATGTTGAGATGTGAATATTTTGTATATATTTGGATTAACAATATTATTACAATAAATTTCTCTTGTGTCTTTTCACATTTTAAATGTGTCTACTAGAAAACTTAAAATAACATATCAGGCACTTATTTGTAGCTCACATGATATTTCTACTAGACAGCACTAGTGTAAAATACAACTCCAGGACTTTGAAAGAAGTGACCTCATTGCTTTGAACACATCAATATAAATACATACTGATTATCTTAGGACATACCCCAAGTCGTCCTGGGAGACTTAAGTAGAACACATACATCCTGCCTTGGAAATTAAGCTTCTAAACAAAATACATTTTAAACTATAGTTGAGAGGGAAAAAACCTGTTATGATAGGGCAATATGTAGTAACTAGGTAATATGGTACAGGCTGTTGGAAAACCAAGAAATGACAAATCATTCAGTCACTCAACAAAGGAACATGCCTGGGGCTCCTCAGCCTGATCCCAACCTCCCCCACAAAAAAAGGTGATAAGGTATCAGCCCACTAACTGCTGTTCTCTGCTCTACCAGCCAGGAGTCAGAGGGATGGACTGCAGGGTCCCCCTCCCAAGCCAATAAAGGGCTCTTGAGACCTTCCGGTCCAGATTGAAAAGAAGACTCCACAGGCACTGGTCAGGGTGGGCGAGGAGTCAGCATTTCATGATTATCCGAAGAGCAAGAAAAGAGTACTCCAGGGAGACCTCTTTGGGCATGAGTGAGACTCTGGAAGGGGGTGGGGGTCTATACTAGTTTTAGGACTGGGGCTTGAGAACAAAGGAATTAAACTTTGTTGTCTGAGAAAGCCAAGAGAGTGGACTTGGCTGAAGTCCATTATTGATGTTAGTTGTGGGTACCAATCAGCTGTTTGGGGGTGGTATAGGGCTCATGATCATCTCCAAGGTGAACATCTCATGGAGGCTGTGTACCTGAAACAGAGCTACAGCAGTGCTATAGAAGGGCAAAGGACAACGCTGAGTTAGAGGACAGGTCACTGTGGGTCCTCACCTGCATGCACAATTGTAAGACCACATGGGTCCAGGGAACAACAGCAATGGGGTTTATTTAACAAACAGGGGAAGCAAAGAGTTTCTAAGGCTGCAAGTGGCTCGCTATCACACCCCAGATAGTGTCCACAGTGTCCAAAAGTTCCAAACAAAAGGCTACTCATTCAAGATGGTGCTGTCCTATAGATGAGAGTCTGGAACTTATGGCAAACCAGTAAGCAGCAGGTCAAGATCCAACTCATGGTGGCAGCTGGAGGTGCTCATAGTTGGGGTCACCGAGATTGTAACCAGTGGCTGAAGCCAAGGACTGTTACAGGTAGTGCCCGCTAGAGGGTGTTGCTGGTGAGGATAGATAGCCCCAGGGAAAATGCTAAAAAAGTATGGCATTTGGGAGCGGAGACTCTGATAAGAAATATAAGGGACTGCAGAGGCAGCATTAGAACATTCAGTGTTTGGGATTCAGCGTTTTTGGATCTTCAGTGATTCTGGGGTCAGTGACTTCAGCCCCCACCATGCCAATCTTCCAGAAGGCTGGTGCAGGCCTCTGAAGGACATGAAGAGGCCTCCAGCAACCAAACTCAGAGAGAAAAAGTTCAGAGGCTTTGCAAGTAGCCGAGCGACTAAAACTGTTTCCGGTTTTGCTGCTGTTACAGCCTGGCAGGGAAGGCGAAGACCCAGAGTAGGCACTTCGCTGAGCTGTGTGAGGGTGGCCATTTGTTGGGTTGTTCAGCCTCTGCAGCTGCTGTTTTGAGCATCACTCGTGCGGTGCTGTGCAGGGGCATCTCAGCTGCTCTGGGAGCAACTCCTGTTATGTCTTCTGTTGTCTTTGTGAGTTGGAACCTGGCCTATAGTCTGGCTGCCGTGTGCTCCAGGCCTCAGTGGCCGGAAGGCACCATCTTAGATGCTTTTTTGTTTAGGACTTGGAAACACTGGACACTGCTGCAGGCAAGGTAAACGGCTATTTTTGGCCTCAGTAACTCTTTGTTTTTCCTGGTTTGTTAAATAAATCCCATTGTTGTTCTCTGAACCTGAGTAGTGTTGCAGTTGTGCGCGTGGGTGAAGAACTCAGGCAGTGACCGGTAAACTATTTGGGCAGTGTTTTTGACTGGTTTTAGTGCCCCTTGCAGCCCTATATCAAGATGACACTGCAGTAGCCCACAGCAAGAGTCTGAAGCTGGGCTGGACAGCACTAGACGACACTGGACTGGACAGAAATGAGTAACAACACTAGGAGGTGGTGCAGATGATCAGTAGTGGATAGCTCTCAAAGGTGACACAGACACAGAATGCTGTCACTAGTCAACAGTGCTAGATAGTGCTGGCCAGTCTCACTTGTCACCAGTAGGAAGTGTCAGAGAAAGGGCCAGAGGCAGGTTCAGTGGCCAGGTCTCTGCGAAGCTCTTCAATTTCTCTTCTTCCTTCAGAGGTTGGCAGCTGGATTCTTCTTTCTTTGGAGGCCACGAACAGAGGGTTTAAGCTGGCTCCTGCCCTGCCTTACATTCTCTTTCAGGGTCCCCCACCCTATAAGCCTGATTGGACCATTTTCAATCCCAAGTGACCGATTAGACCATTTAGGGTCAATCGGCCCTTTTCTTGGTTTTCGATCCAAATAATGAACTAATAACTGATTGAAGCTGATTGGTTCATTCTACGATCCAGGCACCAAATATAGAAAGGAGAACTTGGTGACTGCACAAACCCCGCATGCCCTGAACTTGGGCCTGTGGGCTCTGAGGAGCCAGAGCCAGAGTGGGCCTCAGTGGAGCCAGAGGCTCTCTGCACCCAGTACTCCTTCAATGGGGCCAGATGTAATCATATAGAAGGGGGTGTCCTGAAGCAGCATGGATCCCAGAGCTGCTGCAGGATGGACTCCATTGGGAACATGCCTTGTTGGCCTGGGACTCCACAGGCCTTGCTTCTGCTTATGGCTGGTCCAATGAGCCCCATGCTCCTCCATGCAGCCCTAAACCAGGGACTGCAGGCCTAGCTCTTGCCTCCTGTGTCAGGGTTTGCATAGGCACAGGGCAGCCTTGCAGTATGATAGGGGAACCCATGCCATCTGCCATCACTGCCGACCTCTGCCAGCAGCCTGAGCCCCAGTGGGGCCACTGGTGGTGGGTGGCAAAATACCTGCCACCTGATGCAGTTGGCACTGCCTGCCAGCGTCTGGAGGTGTGCACTGGAGCCCAGGGGGCTGGGGTGCTCAGGTGCTCAAAGTCCCTCAAGCCTCATCAGTGCCTGGCCCCTTTGTAGCCATCCTGGAAGCTGCAGGGCAGCCTGGGTACTGCCCAGAGGCAGAAGGAAACTCCCACTCTGCCACTGTGGGAGACTTGGGGGCTTAGCACTCAAGCCAGCTGGCACCTGGGGAGGGGCTGCCCACAGGCAGCAACTCTGGTGATGAGCAGGAAGCCACCACCACTCAGCCACCAGCTCCATCGCTCAGGCAGTGGAGGGAAAGAACCTGTCTTGCCCAGCGCTTGTACTGTGGGGCTCTGGTTTCGTACTGACATGTTGGTAAACTGAACTTTCAGGGTGAGCCTTCCTTTGGTCGACAAAGAAGAAAGATAGTGTTTGTGAAGAGACTTGGAAACTCAGTAATTGTGAAATTAAACATAATTTATTCCTCAAATTTGCTTGGCTTAAGACATAGCTTGGTGAATAAAAAAACAAAACAAGCTTTTAGATACAAAGAACACATTCATGGTTACAGGAGGAGAAGGGAGTTTGGGGATAGGTGAAATGGGTAAAGGGAGTTAAGTGTATGGTGATGGATGGGAACTAGACTTTTGGTAGTGATCATGAGGCACTGTACACAAATGTTGAATTATAATGCTGTACACCTGGAATTTAGGTAATGTTGTAAACCAGCATTACAAAAAAAAAAAAAAAAACTACATTGCTTTATTGTTGCCTAAAAAAAAAAATATGCAGAATTTTAATTTGGTCCTGAACTTTGTAAGAT